ATCTATCTAGTACTATTCCAATTTCAATGAATTTTCATCCCAACTTATTTCGCGACGAAATTTCCCCTGCGAACCATAGGGAAATTTACACAAAACACAGGTAATGAATGTTAAGATTTGTAAAATATTATTTCAGAATGAGTAGGTAATTCTTTTTGAGAATAAGAATTACTTTTAAATCAATGTCAACTAATTAACTGCACTAAATAATCAATAAACATTAAGAAAACAAAGGAGAAAATCAATATGTGATAGTATAGTTAATCAATAAATGATCATTACAAATAAACCTGAATTATAAGAAACATATGAAATGTTGTCACTAATACAATGACACCAAATGAAGACAAATTTTGAGTATAGTCAGTAAGATCAATTGCTTATTATTATTATTATTACGACTGGTTCTATAGATAGAATCATTGTTACGATTATAGTGAGCAACTTGATCAGTTGACTGGAATTACCGTTAATGCAAATCTCATAATGAGATCTATATAAATTCTCAGCTCGTTTAGCTTTGAATTAACTGTAACTGTTCACTTGAAGGTATAAATTCAACCAATCGATTATTCACTAGCTTTGATTCATAGGTCGTTTCTATCTTACCATGTTACCAATTTTATACTATTGATACGAACTTCCTACTGATGTTAATTAATACCACTATTACTAATAATTTTTGTAATCCATTTAACGTCTAATCATTCAATTTGGAACTTAAGGCTAAGGGAGGAAAGGGGCAATGGAAACATATGTTTTAACACTTATTCATCATAACAAACGTGATATCCAGTAAAGAAGTCTAAGCACACTATACTTCAAATAATGTGATTTATACTGAAATAAAGAACCAATCTTAGTAAGACAATTGCTAGAAACTTGGGATTACTGGACGGCTGTTCTTTTCTCAGTATGGGACTCATCAGTAGTGCGTGTCCACGACTCTAAAGCTAGGAGTCGAGTTCAGGAATTTCATTCATGTGTGCGAGCGCTCTTAGCCGAGATCTTGTGGTGTACAGTGACCAAGAGGTTAGACGTTAGGACAAAAGATCGGAGGTCTTAGGTTTGACTCCTCCTTTCTATTGGTCGCCTTTTTCTGATCTATTCAAGATATGAATGAAATTCACCTAGACTGGTGGCCACATTGCAACATGATCGATAGCATTCGATCTGCACTAAATAAGGATTTGACACACATGATATTGATCACCACCCAGTGATCAATCGATTGTGATTACATCTCAATCCTACAGGAGGTCGGTTGTGGGCCGGATAGCTCAGTGGTAACGTCTCTGACTGTGAAGCTGGGTGACACGGGAACGAATCCACCAGGGAGCACCAGTTCCCTGAAGATTACAGGTACACCTTGCTGACGAGTGCCGAGTAGCACAAAACCCAGGTTCAGAGTTTCCTATCAACTACCACCAACCACCATCTAAGCGTCATATATCTCTAAACTATCTCAGTTGACGAAGATTCACTAGTTCACTAACCGATTTTTCACCTTTACATAATACTCTATGCTTTATCACTAATTATTGAATCGTTTTACACTAAGAGGTTAACACTTCTAAAACAAAAGTTGTACATTTCTAAACTTATTATTATAATATTCTTTGCTTATAATGCTTGTAAATTAAGACAATATCGAGGCATACGCACAGTATGCACATATGCCAATAAGAGACTGATCAATTTCAGTCCTAAAACATCAATGGGAAGATTCAAGTAAAACAATATCAAGTGAATTAAACTTCAACCCATTGCACAAGCAAGTGGCTATCAGGACTCAGTAGCTAAGTGGATAACGCGATGACGTTTGAAGCGAACGGTACTGAGTTCGAGTCCCAGAGTGAATATCAACTCTGAGATGCAGGTAGATACAGCTGATGAGTTCGAAACAGGGCGAAACGCGCGTCCTGGATTCCACTGCTAGCCACTATCCATCTTTGCTTATCATGCTTGTAAATTAAGGCAATATCGAGGCATACGCACAGTATGCACATATGCCAATAAGAGACTGATCAATTTCAGTCCTTAAAACATCAATGGGAAGATTCAAGTAAAACAATATCAAGTGAATTATTCTATTCTCTGTTTTGTTTCTTATTTCTAGTTAATATTAACTTACTAATTCCATTAATCAATCTTATAAATTAATTTTACAAGTTTATTGACGGTATTCATTTCCTTAAATTTCCCCTATATACATACAATAGTAAGTTATAATTAACATCTTTCTAAAAGATAAGTACTTCCGTTCTACTCAGAAATAATGTATTGAATTATGTTTAACAGAATCATACTATACGTTGGTTTGTATATTGTTCAAATTGATTTGTTATAATGATTTGTAAGAATTTTTACCGCTCAATTGATAAGTCCTGAAGAAATGAATGAATCAATGAGTCAATGAATCAGTCATCTTTTGTAAGCGTTTTAAGCGGCATACCTTTGACAATAAAGAGAGAAGTATTCATAATGTATTTACTGCTAAGTTTGAAGCTACTTTCTTTTATGTATACAGTATAGTGAAATGAAAATGAATGACGGTTTAAAAAACATTTTATGGTCAATCGCAATGATTTTTGCAGTTTAGCAGAAATTATTAGTTGTAAATAATGGGTAGTGATCAGTGTCATATATGTCAAGTCCTTCGTAGTGCAGATCGAAATCTATCGACCAAGTTGCAATGTGGCTATCAGTCTATATGACTCGACATCACATGCACTATGTTGAGATGAGATGTTGGTTGGGGGTAGCCGACAGAAAACCCTGGACATAGATTTCGAGATATTTGGCACTCGTTTGCGAGGTGGAAGAAGAAAGGACCTAACATACATAAGATTGATTACTACCCAATTACCAATCAATTGGAAATATATCTCAGTCCTACAAGAGACCAGTCGCGGTGTGGATAGCTCAGTGGTAATATCTCTGAATGTGAAGCTAGATGACACGAGATCGAAGTATCAGCTCCTTCAGTATTACAGATACACCTTGCTGACGAGTGTCGGATATCATGAAAACCTAGCCACCATCTAATGAGAAATATCTTTTTGAAAATTAAATCTAGATTACCATATAAAGAGTAATAATAATAGAATGCACTATTATTAATTCGGCTCCTTGTGAAACGAAATATTTGTCCAAGTAGCAATTAATCGATAAGGGGTTTTTAAGATCGAACATATTGATATTTTGTATAAGAAGTGTACTCCCATTTTGTATTGACTTGAATCAGAAACCTTATTTATAAAACTAACTTTTGTATCCATAAATTGACCAGATCCGGTAAGCATCAGTCGTGCACAAACAAAATCGAAACATTACGAATCATCGTTGAACAGTCAGTTGAATGAAACTCGTCACCATACGTCAACTTTCTTGACGAGTTTGATAATGTGGATAAGAGGACTTCGTGAAACCTTCTTTGATACTATAGTGTCGTTGAGAGAATCGTCAACATCATATGGAATTCATACGACAAACTACAGTTAAACGTCGTGCTTAGAAGACAGCTGACTGATACTCAAAATACTCAACGTCCGTTGGTCGAACACCATCAGCAACAACCTGCTGTAAGAGAGGACAAACCAGCTTCGAGCTAAAGAAGAAATTAGGAAAAGACGTTGGAAGTGGATAGGACATACATTATGGAACTCAGACTGCATTACGAGGCAAGCGCTAACCTGTAATCTTGAAGGAAAATAGAAAAGAGAAAGACCGAAGAACACATTACGTCGGGAATTGAAAGTAGGCAAGAAAAAATGAATAGTAACTAAAAACAACTGGAAAGGATTGTCCAGGATAAGGTTGAATGGAGAGTGCTGGTAGGCGGCCTTTGATGTTTCACGAGGGTTAACAGGCGTAAGTAAGTATGGTGGAAGAAGAAAGGTTTTGCTCATAGTTTATTAATCATAATAGCTGGTTTTTCAGGACACATACCTACGATTATCATTTAAAACACCATTAAGAATTCTGGTTAGAAATCTAACCAACAACTCAGTGATATAGTCTCATTGATTACTTGGTAAACGTGTCTAAATATCAATTACCGAGAAAGTAGTTTTTCTAACAGATAACCTTATAGTTTACCATATAATTCTGACTTGGTAATCAGATCCAATGGTATGAACTGTAATCATTTATTTGTCCTGAACTATATCATCAACGCCTATATCATAGTTGATACTGCATAGATTTCTAAAATATTTTATCAATAGCAACTTCTCATAACAAAATGAGTTTACTTTCTTGAGTAATCTTTCTATTGAATTATCATAAAAAGGATTGGTGTTACATACTACTTATATCAGTCAATATAAGTAGCATAAACTACAGTAAGTGTATCATATCTTCAATATCGTTCTTGTTTTGTAGTTTGCTTTTTATATAGTTTTGAACTTAGCGCATAATTTAAATGAGTCAGTATGCACAAAATTCAGTGTACTAACATTTAATTTCCATGCAAATATTCATGTACTTTCTTTTTACCATTATTATGAACATGTATTTGTCAACATGAAACACATAATTTACACGTTTGGACTATTGATTTATACAATGAATACTGTTAGTATACTCTGTATATGGTCATATTTATCTAATCACAATTAAAGAGATTGATTATTAGATGAGATTTCTTTCTAAATGGAGTAGGGTTCATAAACGATAACAAATATATATGGTATAATTTGGAAATAGGTAAGTCTGATTAAAAATGATTATCAGAATGAGGATTTGTGGAGGACGAAACAGTCATCCAGTGTTTATAGGTTTTCAGTGATGGTCTAATTAAGATCGACTCATGAATTAAAGTATTAAAAATTATTTATCAAACCAATGGTGATTTTAAACAAACATGGTTCATAATTGCGCTAAATGAATTTATCAGGAATTTTCGGGAACTATGAAACATGAAACACAGAAAAAGGTTTAAAGATTAATAAGGAAATGGCTTTGAAAAATCTATTTTAAGGTTGTCAACCAATTAATCAACTTAAAACAATTATTCGCATGAATTCAGGTTCTGCGTGATAATTCTTACTGTCATCATCATCATCATCATCATCATCATCATCATCATCATCATCATCATCATCATCATCATCATCATCATCATCATCATCATCATCATCATCATCATCATCATCATCATCATCATCATCATCATCATCATCATCATCATCATCATCATCATCATCATCATCATCATCATCATCATCATCATCATCATCATCATCATCATCATCATCATCATCATCATCATCATCATCATCATCATCATCATCATCATCATCATCATCATCATCATCATCATCATCATCATCATCATCATCATCATCATCATCATCATCATCATCATCATCATCATCATCATCATCATCATCATCATCATCATCATCATCATCATCATCGGCTTTGAATAATTTATAACATAATTGTAACGACAATTTAAACATATCTATGGTAGTTCTATTTATGTTGGTTAAAAATTGACCATTAATTATAATAATTATAATAATAGGAGTTCTGAGTATAAGCTGTAAACAAATCTATGTTTTCAATGTACGGATTTTGGTTCACGCATATATTTATGATTTATAAACACAATTATGCTAAATTTTCGAAGTCAGAGGAAAGAACCAACTATTCATGTTTGAAAACTATTGTTATACATAGAACGAGGTATTTCTACCAACTTGAGATAATTGGATTCAATTTATTCAACATTAAAATTAGAGATCTGAGCTAAGAATGTTCACAGAGCATAACGCTAACAATTTTTACAAGCAATTAAGTATATTCTAACATATCTTTTATCACTGAGTATATTGATGTTTAACAAATGTAGGAAGAAAAACGTTTTAAGTGAATTTCTAAACTTAAAGTTACACAGGTTATTTATTAAGCTCTATTTGATCCATCGTTTTATCAGTCAGTTCCCATAAAACACGATTATCATTCAGTGCTATCAAGGACAGTTGCCTTACTTTTCATTGGAATTATGAACCCATGTCAGTTAAACCACCATTAAAACCTGGAAGTACCGAGAGAGCATTTGGTAGTAGTATGGAACCCTTCAGGAGTGAGCATCCACGACCCAGTATACAGGAATCGAACTAAGGGACTTCAATGCTGTCTGCGATCGATTAACCTGTGGACCACCGAGACGACATACCACGGTTTTAATATCGGAATTCAATTAATTTGCGAAACTCTTCGACTACCTTCCATTGTCATCGGTGGGTAACCATTTACATCCAATACGGTTTTAGTTGCACTGGTCGTAGTTCCCCACTAGAATTCTTAAAATTTCCTTTCAATGCTTTATTTTTGATGTGATTTATCTTTTAACTGATGGCTCCATAGTTTACATTTACATCATCCTGTTTTTAAAAAGACTCATGAGAAACATTAATAAAAATTAAAAACGGATGACCACATTGCCACGGTTACCACTATACGTATATCATACTTTCAGAATGCAATTAATCCTAAGACCATTCACTGCTTATCATTGTAGATCACGTAAAGTAAAAAAAGAGCCCGTTTGATCAATAAAATGAATAGAATATGTATAATACTATAGTTCTATATATTATAAACCCTAAAATAATTTATTAAACACTAATAACAACTAACTGACCATTCAAATTTACATACCACTAACATCCAAAAAATATCATAATCAATTCATTTGAATTAAGTCAATTTGAGACAGGGCATAACAATCTACCACTTTCCAGTACAATTCATTTCTGTTTCCAAATTGGTATCAGAAGGTGTTTTGTAGAGATTGTAGTAATCTCAGTAGTTGAGATCATGAGTCAATTAAAGCTAGATCACCATAGAAAATCTGGAAGCACTGGACGGCTGTTTCGTCCTACTGTGAGACTACTCGGCAGTGCGCATCCACGGTCCCGCCTCCCACGACATTCGAACCCAGGACATATCAGTCTCGCACACGAACGCTTGACCTCTATAACACTGAGCCGAACGGCATCCAACGGTGTTAATGTCCAACCCCAATCAATCCGTGAGATTGAGCGACATATCTTTCACTATCATCAGTGAGTTATTATCTCACAACTGACCTGGTTAAACTCCACTGGTCACTGCTTCTCATTAGAACTCTAGGAAATACCTCTTGAAGCTAGTCAATAATGAGAATATATTCATGAATATCAGAAGAGGGATTTTGTGAAGATTGTAACAATTTCAATGGTTTGAGACCATGAATCAATTGAAGCAAACCTAGTAGCACTGGACAACCGTTTCATCCTATTGTAGGACTCCTCACCAGTGCGCATTTACGAACCTACCAAATTAGTTTGATGAATATCTATTTATTCAATTAACATATATTGTACAGTTCACTGACACTAGATTACATAATATTGCAATGACCTATATTTGATTTCATATTCACAATAATAAAACTATCAAAATAAACTGATTATATAATCGATCAGTAAAAAAAATTGAGTTTTCTTTTTCTTTTTTCTTCTTTTTTTGTTGAAAAAAACATTAATTAATATTGTATTTACACCCCATATAGTGTAAATTAAATTTATTGGGTCACTGAATTGAATTGATCATTATTTTAGGTTACTAATTGATGAGCTCAATAAAGAGAACAAAAAAATCAATAAGAATCAATAAAATGATATTTAGGTTTGTTATTATTATTCTTTTTGTTGGTGTTGTTGTTGTGACAAATAAAACATTACAAATGTAATTTTCTGTAGTTTATAAAACGTTTAAAATTGTAACGCACACACACACACCACACACACACACACATAAGAGAGTTAAAATGATAGTGTTTAGTGTATATAATAATGTTTTCTGGTTAGCGTCTTTTTTTGGCGGGTTAGTTTTCCACGGGATGGGGTTGTTAACCCCATGCCCAACCCTCCTTCTTTATCCGCGCTTAGGACCGGCAGTAGCCCCCGGAGGGACTCCAGGCGGAGTCAATGTATATACTACTTAAAAATCAATCCTATTTCTAAATTTTGATCCTGATAATTTATTTCATATTCATGATCCTTAATCTTAAAATCATGAAATCTTTAGTCTTCATAACAAATATTGAACTATAACTCGGATCAATTTATGATTTTAATGAAATCTAACAATGTTCACAATTATTATAAACAAAGATGATGGTAGGTATCATTATCAAGGTTTGATTTGATAATTTCGAATAAATTGAACATTGACTAGATTGTTATAAATTAACTAATAGAATTGTATTATCTCAACAAGTAGAAAAATTAGATTTTTTGACGTTTCGTGACTCAATGTAAGTCACTTCGTCAGGGGATAAATAATCAGATCAAAATGAATACAAGTTTAAATAGTACAACAGAACAACAAGAATATTATAATGATGATAACTAGCGGTAGAATTCAAGACACACATTTGGGACATTTCATAACTGCATATTGAAAATATAAGGATTTCTAAAAATTTATATTCATTATAAAGGTTTAACGTGATAAATAATCTATACCTATATGAATGAATTTATGTGTTGCTATGCAATTATTCAACATGTATTCATATTTTTTGATATTACTGTTATTTTCAAAGATAGATAGTGACTAGTAGTGGAATCCAGGATGCACGTTTCGTCCCATCTGGGACACATCAGCTGGATGTACCTGCATCTTAGAGTTGATATTCACTCTGGAACTCGAACCTAGTGCCATACACTTCAAACACCATCGCATTTTCCACTTAGCAACTGAGTCCTGATAGCCACCTGCTTGTGTAATGGGGTGAAACATAAATTCACTGATTAATTGTAGCCTTAAACATTAATAGGAAGATTCAAATAAACAATACTAAGTAAATTTTACTATTATTTTCTTATCAGAAAGGCTTTTATGGATATTATAGTAATTTCGATGGTTGAGATCATTAGATAATTGAAGCTAGATCACCATGGAAAACCTGGAAGCACTGGATGGCCGTTTCGTCCTATTGTAAGAGTCTTCAACAGTGCGAATCTGATATGAATTAACATATGCTCACTAGTGACTGACTTCGAGAGGTATATACTGGAGTTCTAGAAAGAAGCAGTGATTAGTGGAGTTCAACCGTGTCTGTTGTGAGATAGTAACTCACTGATCAAAATGGTGGATGTGTTGTTCAACTTCGTAGATTAGGTGAAGTTAGACATTAACAACGTTGGATGCCGTCCAGCTCAGTGGTCTAAACGTTAAACGTTCGTGTGCGAGACTGATATGCCCTGAGTTCGAATCTCGCTTGTGGGGGCGGGATCGTGAATGCGCACTGGTGAGGAGTCCTAGAGTAGGACGAGACGGCCGTCCAGTGCTTCCAGATTTTCTGTGGTGATCTAGCTTCAATTGACTTATGATCTCAAGTATTGTAATTGGTATTTTCTTATTGATAAACTATCCATTTACATAGTATTTTTTCTGTTTGGTCAATAACTAGGTGAAAATACTCCAAGACTGGTATAAGCTCATCCTTATACTATAATATATACATATACTCTTATCATAATTTCTTGGCATAATTTGTTCCATTTATAATCTTACGTCATAAATGATTGATTAGCTAAATTTACTTAAAAGAATATTAATCTAATAATTTATATGTATATGAAATACAATATAGTGATTTATTATATCTCTTTGATAATGGTCATAATCAAGAACACATTTACTTAATGCTTAAGATTATTGATATGATCAGCGATATTACTGCTAGTGTTGAAGCTATCACGAGTTTACTTAATGTGCGAATGAGAACAAAGACTCGGTGACCAAAGACCAGTTAGCTAGCTATTGATGCGTCCCAGCCCCGCTAACTAGAGGGAGAAGTCCAAGCTTGGAATGGGAAGTATATTCTGCAAACAGCCAGAAATCAGCGATAACAACAAACACAATTCAAAAGGTATATATGCAGCACAAAACCGTCCTTGTAGAGAGTTACCTAATAGCATACTAAAAGACGCAATGGACCAATAGCATTTAAGATATATCCCAGTGGGAAATACGACATGAAAGTGATAAGAGTGCTTTTGGCGCGAAAACAAAGAAATTCAAATCTTCTAAATAAAATTACAAAATTAGGTCCTTTCTCAAGTGAGTTCTGGGGACCTTACGTCCCCAAAAGTTCAATCAGTCAGTCAGCTACAACGTAAGACCAGGTACATATATGCATCGGTCCAAGTTGCCATACCTCATTAACACAACAAGATGGACACCGGATTCAGAGAAGTAGTTAATTCAGTGGTGGTAATATATAAAAAAAGATTGCATTTAAGGATATAGTAAAGGAAGAAAGAATTAGTTCGTAGAAAGAAAGATATTAAGCGACTTTAGTCTCTTAGTTTAAGGGAAGACAGAGAGTGTATACACCGACGCCATTGTGATCGATTCTGAGCCATGTCACCTACAGCCTCCAACCATTGGTTACGATAGT